TCTTCCAACAGCTACGCCATCAAGAATCTTGGTTGCGCTTACAGCCTCTGCCCCGACGCAGTGACCCAGCTAATTCTCCTCTCATGCACTGCGCATTGTGCGGATGTAGGCGTAGATACAGCCCAACCTTGCTTCTGCCTGCCGCTGCCTCGAGCCTGAAAGGAAGAAGGACGAGATCGAGCGTGTCGCAAAGGCGAACCGTTAAGTTCAGAACGCCAGCCGAGCCGAGCCACCACGGAAGAAAAATCGTCTCAGCACGAAAGAGGAAGGGCGTTTCCCGTTTACCTCTTTTTGCTCGAGTGGCCCTAAAACCTCGGCTCGGCCCACGTCGCTTTGGCCCAAGGCTCAGGCCTCTAGGCAGGTGCGGTCCCAGCCCCGGGCCCCCCGAAGGGTCTCAAGGGCGCGGCACCCTGGCCGTAGACTAAACGAAGATTTGCAAAGCTCTTAGAAGATCCCACTTTGACACTCTGTGTGCTGGCCTTGGGACCTTTGTGGGTTGGTATAAGACTCAGATTGTAATCTCGCGCACTCGTAGGAAGTCTCGGCGTGGAGAGTATAGATACCCATAGTCCAGCTACCACAGTAAACCAATAAGATCCTACTTCTCACGGCGTGTGACACTTCGTGTCGAGCCTCTGTGCCTAAGTTGCATCTTTGATGGCTGCGATGCGAACACATAGGAAGGTGGGAGCTCAACTTTACCTGCTGTGATCGATTCGCTTCGCGTTGCGTCCGTCTCTGCGGCAGGTCGTGAAGGCCTAGCAGAGATCCCGTGCTGTGGCCGCCCAGGGATGTGGTGCTGTTCGAGCTGTGCTCCAAAGGAGCCTACTACCAACAATAGCATCGCTTACCCATGTCGGTGATGGAGTGAGACGCGACGGTGTTGTTTCATTCTGACACAGCCGTGGCGACGCCACCTCCCTGCTCGCTCTCCCCCCCGCTGCGCAGCTAAGCTCAGTCTGCCAGGACGCCACGAGCTCCAAATTAGTGGGCTTGTCGGACGAGATCGGCCGGGTGCCAGGTTGACCGTAGCCATGATCAGACGGCGGCATGCGGATCTGCAATTCTCGCAAGCTGGGCTCAAGACCTCAACCACAATATATGAGTTCAAGAAGCAATCCACCGTCCAATGAGCACCTGCGTTCCAATTGCACATCACAGCAGGCGTGCATGTTCGTGCGTCTCCCGTGTGTTGTGTATTGATCGCATCCACGTCCTTAGCCTAGACTTGCCTTATCCCTGCCAGACTCTGCCGACTCCGCGCTAACTCTGACACGGTTCTTCAATTGGAGTAGAGAAGAGAAGAACGCACCATGGCAGACGATCGGGGGCAGAAGAGGAAATTGTCAGAGGAGCAGGCCAGCTTCAAGAAAGCCAGGGGAATTGTGGCTGTTGTCCGCTCAAGCCCTACTGTACGAGAATAAAGGAAGCTTCCGCCAAGCCCAAGGCGCGAGAGAGCTTGAGCGTCTCCTCGGCAGCACTGCCTTTGGGCGCCGTGCCCGTGTGGCTTGGCTCTCGCGTACCGACGTAGGGCCACGTAGGGAGCTTGTACCCTTGCAGTCACGCATGAAGAGTCACCGTCTTCCAGCGCTGTTTCAAAGCATCCTACATATCCTGACATGTGATCGCAGCACTGCGCAAGTGCAAGCAGCCGATGCATGAAGCCAGGCGGACGTTGCTTTCCAATGCGCTGGTGCCATCGACCACTGGCTACGAGAGGAAAGACGTATTGCTAGCTCCTGGGCGGAACATCGGCCCAGTGAATCGGGTGAATGCCGGCAGCATTTTGCGATGAGGCTGACGGCAAGATCGCCAAGATTTCGTCTGCGAAATCGGAAGCTGCATCGACAGCGGAGGTCTTCGTTGACTGTAGCGAAAAGCTGCTTCTTCCAGGATTCGTGACGCTTGGGACTGAAGTAGAAGCGGTGTATGGGAACTTTAGACAATTGGAATTTCCAGGTGGCATCGCTGCTTTCCCGCACTTGTTTTCGTTTCCCACTTTCTTGCAGCTGCCTTGAGCTCCGAAAACATGTCGCGACAAAATCGGCCAATATCAGCACGTTTGTTCGAGTCTGCGTCCGGGGTAGGAAGCAAGGCCAAGGACCCGGCAGCTGAAGTCCACGAGGCGTTGAGACAGCGAGAACTGAAGTACTCGTATTGCTCCCAAGCACGGAAGAACCGTCGGGTGGTTTTTCGAGCTTGCAGTACAGTCCATCAGTGCGTGTCGACCAAACCGGCCAAGGAATGCGCACACGCACAGCAGTGAGCATTGGACGCGCGGACTCATCAAGCCCCTTCCACTGGAGCTGTGGGTCGCACAACTCTACCGCCACGAGCCACGTGGAGACGAAGGCTGGTACGGCAAGGCAGGTGGGGCGCCACGGGAAGGATTCTGCTTAGCGAAGTTCTGGCAAAGGAGAGCCACCATCGCACACCTGCCGAAGCCCTGGGCGTGTCGGCCCTGCTCTGCGGCGCCGAATCTATGCTGTCAGGCGCATTGTCGCTGCTTCAAGTTAGACCTGAGGCAAAGTATACAGTTGAGCCAGTCGTCGTTCGTTGTCATTCGCGCTCGGCAACATCGATTCTAGAACATGGACAGTCGTGATGTGGACTTGGGGTCTGATATCAAGCGAACGCACTCCGTTCAATTTGGGTTTCCGACCTGCCAATACTGGGCCAACGCCAATCCAGGGTGTGGAACACGGCTTGCCTTTGCTCAGAGTTTCCCTGGCTGGACGGCCGGCCTCTGATGACTAATTTGCAGCAGTCGTGGGTGCTGCATAATATTGAGCCCAGTCACTTAGGACATCTTCGGACATTCGTCAGGTTGTATCTGCAATACGTTCGCTTGCAATCATGTGGTACAAATACCAGAGAATCTGCTAACCTGTTAAACACTTGCAGACAATTCAAGAAGCGCCCTGGCAGGCTGCACAGCATCTCGGCAGTTGTGAGTGTTCACAGTCCTGAGAAGCACGTCTGTGCCAGACATACTGGTAGAAGTGCAGCTCGTGAGGACAATCAAGTTCTCTAGACAGCTGTGACGTCACATCAGGCAATCATGGATCATATTGCCATCCGGCACCTGGATGACCTGGATGCCATCGTCCGGGCTTACAAGGCTTTCTGCTCAGTCGCTTCCGTCGATTACCCTCCGAGGTGAAGCCGGCAGGTCTAGCACGGTATAGTACTGCCCGAAAGACATGTAGGCATGACACAACGTGGAACCAGGCAGATCAGCTGTCAAACAGCTTGTGCAGGCGCTGGGGATGCGTGCGTTTGTGGCCCCAATGCTAGGAGACGATGCTGCGCTTTGGCTGAATGGCAGCTGATGTGCTTTGGATGAAAGTTTCGAGACTTCGGGCATGTGTCCGGGAGTGCGAGTGACAGGTGCTCTGGGAGAACTTCATTCCGCTGGTACCAGATGGGGCAGCACGAAATGCAAAGTGCAAGTGTTGTGGAGGACTGGGCCTGCGGGGTGCATGGTAGGGCATGAAGTGGGATCCGTGAGTGTCGAGCGCCTTTGTGAGTGTTGCAGTTGACTTGACATGTGCACACTCTTCTGCTCTTGGCTTGGTCACAGCTCTTGCAGCAGTTCTTTGCTTGTGTATTGAGCGAGTGCCATTGCTCGCCGTGGCGAGGGTTACCGCGGATAGCAGATTCCTTCAAAGATTGTTGTTGGTTTGCCGTGTCTTCTTTGCTGTGAATGGTGCAGCCAGATCTGGAACGGATGTCTGTTGCCGCATTGTGGGAGCAGCTGCCGGTTGGCTTCCGTCGCGACTTTGGGAAGAATGGGAGCAGTTATATACCCCGGCGACAAGGTTCCGGTCAACACGGAGAGCGACGTGGTCTTCTTGATGTCAGCATATCGCAACAGCCACGAGGACAACGAGCCAGCTGCTGAAATTTTTCGTTCTCTTCAACGAAGACGCCGCTGCGTTCTAGCGCTTCTGTGTTGCCCGCCTTTCCGGGAATGCTGTTGGCGTGGGTCCAACGAACACTTTGTCTTGGCTTCGTGGGAGATCCGGAGCTCTCCAACGCCTGGTTGCCCTCTTCGCTCTTCGCCGGACGCCGTTATCTTGGCTGCTTTGGGCTGCCCGCGTGCCGTCACCATCAGGAAGCGCGTTCGCGAGTGGCGAAATGTTAGAGCGTATTCCATCAGTGTGTGCGGTTCACTGTGGCCGACACGTGTTGGCATTGTTCTTGACTACGTGCTGGAACGAGTGGAAGAGCCCTGCGGACATACACGGAGCACGTGTTGCCGGCGACCAGGCGCTGAAGAATGTCGTGTCATGATGGGGCTCCTCCGACCTTGTAAAGCGCCGTTGATGCCCTGCATGCTGATTGGTTTCTTGGAACTTCTTGTTGCCGGCCAGAGTGCTCCCATCTTCTCTCAGGGTATGGCCTTCTACCAGCTCCTCAAGGTTTGGGCTGCCTATCGCAGTGGCGATCTCAAAGGCTTGAACCCTGCCTCGGTGAGAATGAACTCCCTCGGCTTCAGCGGCGTTCTGGAACGGACCAAGTGCATCGGCCCGTGTAAGCGAATGCGGCATTTACCCATTTCTGTAAACCACTCCACCGTTCTTTTTGTTCCTGACTGGTTAGGGTTTGGGGTCTTTCAGGCATGTATTTCCAGCCTTCCCCTGCTTCAACACGATTGGTCAGGCGCACGTCATATCATGGCCGACTATGCGGACACCGTTGCGCTGAGCAAATCCCTGTTTGGCATGCTGCGCCTTCCACTGTTACAGGGCGCCCAATGGGTGACTCTGACAAGCGGCTATTTTGCAGTCAGAAAGTACTGCGCTTCTGGAACGGGCATTCAGAGCGGAGCTGGCTTACGAGCCATGTTGTTGCCGTCGGCGCGCAACAGCCCGAGCGCGACTATGCTGGGCGCTGGCATGTCACTCACTTTCTCGAATGGTGAATAAACTTTAGGAACGCCTGGTAACTTTTTTTTGTGGTCATGTGGACAAGTGGGAGCTCTGTAATGCCGGCTTGGATGAACTCAGACTGTTCCTTTTCAGATCTTTTGACCGCGCCGTGTGACCAACAGAGTTTACCTGAGCGCCGGTGTTTGCGTGTTCCTGAGCCCCCAGTGCCCCCTCGAGTTCCAGACGTGCCGCAGAGCGATGTGAAGAGCGACTCGGAAGATTTCATTTTCGACAGCCCTTTCTTTGTGACTGTCGTCGCCTCCCTCGCCGAGGAGGGTGTGGAGTATCTTGGTAGGTGTGCAAGAGTCGGAACCCGCTTGGTTGCTGCAGGGCCTCTCGTGCTACTTTGCTGGCAGACACGTTGGGCAGCTGGGGAAGTCACCGTGTCCGAGGCTGAGGATGCCGACGATTCTGGCGATTAGCAACCGAAAAAGAGTCAGAAGGCTAGTTACTTGTCGCCCCGAGCAGCGAAGTAATCGTTGTAAACCTGACGTTGATATTCTGCTTCACCGAATTCCTATGTGATGTCTTCAGGTTCCATTGCTCTACTGCCGCTGGTTGTCGCTAGAATAGCATCAGACGTGGGACAGCAGTGCGTTCTTCGTTTGTGCCTGTCTGACGCCTGTTCCTGCACGTGTGTCATTGCCCACGCAGTGTGCGAGTGAGTCGCATGTGTCTTCGCTTGGAGGATTGGGTGCGGGTTTTCCACGTGTCGGCATTTAGCCGCTTTCGTGCTGGGTCTACCCCTCAGTGTTTGCAGATCTTGCAAGCTTTTGTCATCGTGTATTCCGAGCAATGGCTGACATCCTTGCCAAACCCGATTCGGATTTCCGCTTCCAGCTTGAGGAAGTTAGTGTCGATGTCGGCGTGCAAAAAAAGATCATCGAGTCAAAGTTTACTTGGATGCAAGTCTTCGCCGGTCTGGAAGAATCCAGGAGCGCAGTTCGTGCAGCCTTGAAGACAACATGTGGTTTTCAACGTTGACAGCAGCCCGTCGATGCGAAAAGAAGTGGCCCTCCTCCCTTGTGTATGGGAGGCTGTGCGCACGCACCTCACCTATCAGGTGAAGAACAAGCAAGAGGCCACGCTGGGCACGCAGAACCGCCTTGTTCAGAACTCCGAGAAGGGGGCCGCGCGTGCTGCCGAGGAGAAATGCGTGGGCAAGCTACGGGACAAGGAGGCTCTCAACAACGCGTTGGTGGCATTGAAGCTGGAGCAGGTTGAGGACGGTGTGCCGGTTGCCGAAGACCTCCGAGATGTCACGTCGTTGGAAGCCGCCATCATTGATCCAACAACTGCAGACTGCCGCTTTGCGAGTCCGCCCGGGCCGAGCTTCCACTACACCGCCGAGCTCCCCGAAGAACTCCGGCTTCGTCATCGCCGGCTGGGCTTAGCATGGTCGATGGTTGCAACAAGGCACCTTCAAACTGTGTGGACTGCTTTCGTAAGCTTTCTGATCATTTGCTGGGTTCTTTTGTTGTTGGCTTGCGCAGCGCGAATGGGCAAAGTCCCACCTGGTCTCTGGTCTTGAGTTCTGAGATGGCGTTAAACAGTTTATCGTTTCGTCCGGGACGCTGGGTACTGCCATCGAGCAATCCTGCGAAGCCCCTGATGTCATGAACACCCACTTCATCATTCCTTTCATGTTTGCAAATTGAACAGAGTGCCTCAGCCGCTTGGGCGGTGCAGCCGTACAGCCTGTTCCTTCCGGCAATGGTGTCGGTGGTGGCGGCAAGACACGCAAGTCCGGCAAAGGAAACTAATGCTTGGGATGAGCAGTGGGGCAGCGCCACCAAGGCCCTTGATGGCAGATGCATGTGCTGGCGCTGCTTCAACAAGAAGAAGGGTTGTACCGATCCAGCTTGCCGCTTCGCACATGTGTGCCACCGTTGCTTCGGCAAGCATTCCTTCCAGACTTGCAGAGAACAGGCATTGCAAGTTGGGCAGACTCCCTTGCCAGCTGACTTGCCTGGGTGCCGCCTGCTTCTATAACGAGTGAAGCTTGCCTGCGTGCCCCCCCCGGTCCGCTGCCCAGTGAGGGGGCTGTTCCTGCGCAGTGCGGGATAGCTTGACGCTTCGGTGACTGAGCAGGGCAGCGACGCTTCTAACCACAAGTTGGGCCCTCCGTGCGAGGTCGGAGATTCTTCCAGCTGCTGCGGCGTGCCACGAAAACCTGGAGTATGAGTTGGGAGGCGATAGGGTGCGTCTGTCTGGTCTCGGAGGTCACGGACGCCAAAATTGCACGGACACCGCAACCCATTCACAGTCGGCTTCGGTCTGTGCTCCAGGACGTCGGGCCCCTGCCATGCGACAGGACCATTTGTAGAAGCGTCGCTTTCATTTCGAGCTTGGGAGAAAGCTGGACTGATTTGTGTCTAAGTGGCTCGACTCTGAAGATCTTGCTTTGCGTCTGGCGGCGTGTCAGGTTACCGTCTTTTCAGCGATGAAATGCTGACAGTGGGCAGGCGGCTCATCTGGCGCGAATATCGAGCTGCTAATTGCAGTTTACCTCTTGAGGAGCAGGGCGATCCTGACTATGCTGCATATTATTCGGGCAAGGATTCTTTTGCAAGGGTGTCCGGTTAGGTGTTGGCGTGGATCTTCGAAGGGTGACGGCCGTTTTCACTGCAAAGAAGAGCTGGAGGAAGTACGCGGACGAGCTGGACAGCCCAGGATTGCGGGAGAATTATGTGTTGGCCAAGACAAGAAGCATGCGCGTGAAGTTCAGGAACAGTTCGAAAAAGAGGCTGCGTTGGGTGCCATGTGTGAAATGGAGCAGAACGATGCTGACAAGGAGTTAGAACAGTTAGACGGCGTTATGCTCGCCTCCCTCGGTGCGATCGAAAAGAAGGATGGTACCTACAGAGTCATTCATGATGCCACGCACGGCGTCGGTGTAAACAGCCGGATAAAAGTGATCGACCGAATACGCCGTCCGAATGTCGGCGATCTATGTCGGGTCGGGCCACCCAAAGGCTACCCTCTCCGTTCTTTGCCTTAACAGGCGACGTTGCTCGTGCGCACCGGCTCGGTGCCAAGGGTGACAATGTTGTCTGGGTCAATTGCGTTGGCACATTCGGTGTCTCATCTGCTGCTTACCATTGGTGCCGGCTTATGGCGGGGCTGGGACGAAGTTCTTTCTTCTTTTTTGGCAAGCTGGGTTGGATGCAGTTGGTATACGTTGACGACCTGTGGATCAGCTCATCACCATCATTTTCGATTACGCAGCATTGGGTCTGCCCATTGCATGGAAGAAGTTCTCAGGAGGGCTCGAGTGCGGTTGGGTAGGATACGAGTTGCCAACTGTTTGACAGAATGCTGGGATTAATTGTGTGTCGCGCGAAGTGGCTCATCGACTGGCTTAAGCACACCGTGCGTGACAAGTGCGTCCTTATGGCAGACATGCGTGCAATGCTCGGTCAGCAACCGCTGCTGGATGCTGGCGGCCGGGCGGCGATGGCCCCTAGAAAATTGATCCACCAAATGGAAAAAGAGTGAGATCGTGCGAGTGCTGCCAGCCTGTAGTGTCTGCGTGACTTCAGGGGTGTTGGCTTGTCTTGTTGTGACTTCTGCGTGACACGGCTGGGATCCCGCAAGCACGAGGTTCAATTTGAGAAATTGTATACCAAGTGACAGCCATCAAGAAGGACTGGGGAAAAATGGAAGCTTCCGAACCCAGCCGGCTGCTCCAGATTCGGCAAAGACCAAGAAGATGCAACTAGGATTTAGTTGGAGTCATCATGTGTGATGTTCGTTTGACGTTATGACCCAATCCGCGCAGCATCCAAGTTTGATGCATATGCTTTGGCGAGGCTGCAGCTTTGGGAGGAAGCAGTGAAGAGACGCTTGTTGGCACTTCAAGCTTTCGCCATCTCTGCTGTTCATAAAGCACGGCAGAAATTTCCGCGCTAAGGATTCCACGATCCGGATGCCTGAAGCGCACTAAGTTTCTTTGCGCGATGTTGCAAAAGCTGTTGCAATAGGCACCGAGGTAGGCGTCCCGCGAACACAGAAGCTTAGTTTGCGCCGTTTGCTTTGCCACCTGCGAGGAAAACGGCATAGAGATTGTGATCGGGCCTGTGACTCCCTACTCCGCAAGCACGGAGCTTGTGAGGGGTGCTGTCGAGCTCCGGAAGAAGTACGGTCTCTGTGGCCACACTCACTTGCCACCCTGCTGCACCTCCTGCACTGTCGTTTCGTGTCGTGAATGCATCTGCCAGTGTACTTGGCGCTGAGCTCAGGCTGGAGACACGGGGCCAGGCCCGGCTGAGGGGATAGAGTGATACAAGATAATACAAGTACGTATATGACGTAGCGAATCAGTGAGACCTCTCCCGAGTCGTGAGTTGCGTACCCGAAGGCCATGCAAGCGCGCCAATGGTTCCCGTCAGGGTCTGCGGTGCAGCATCTGCTGGACCTGGGCTTCTTGCAGCTTCCTGGCACGAGCTGCGCTCATACCATCTGGTTGGAGGACCTTGGGTCGTAAGGCTGGGTGGGGAGATGGAGCACGCGAAGCATCATCTGTATGTTCAATTGAATCCACATTCCACTGCGTTCCACTTCATGCAAATGCAAAGGAATTTGGCTTCTTATGGGAATGCATTGTTTAATTGTTGTTTGCTTTCCCTTTAATTTCTGGGGTTTGGAACGCATTCTTTCGTGATTCGCATCTTTGTTTGGTACATTTTCTCTTCTACAGTTAGGATCTTATCTTTTCGGTACCTATATTCTTGGTTCGTAAGGGAGGATTCCAAAAGAGCCAGATTTAATTGTTCCTGATGTTGTAGTTTCGTTTAACTCATAGCGGTACTGGAATATGCGAGACAGGTTGCTGCCTTCGTGTCACCTTCTGGAACGCCTTCTTTCTTATGTTGCATCGTTTGGGTAATTTGATGATGGATGCTGTTACATCAACCTTTTCTTTAGCAATCTGTGGAGCAGGGGTGCTGATGTTTCTGTTCTTGGACCATGTGTGTGAAGCGGAGCATTGCGAGGTAAGCAGTCATGGTTATTCCTTGACTTGGTAGTTTGAGACATCTTGAGAGAATGGCTGCATGGAAGGATTACGAGCTTGCAATGATGGCAAAGGCTGGTGCCACCTGTGTTCACAACCCACTATCCAACTTGATTCTGGGCTCGGGGGTAATGCCCGTGAAGAAAGCGCTGGATGCAGGCGTTTCGGTCTCGGTGGGCTGTGACGGATCCTGCAGCAGCAACGGCCAGGATCTCTTGGAAGCACTGAAGTTGGCAACCACCGTGGCTTGTGTCACCACGCCCGAATACAGAGACTGGCCGACGGCCAGGCAGACGGCTCTTTCTTTGGCTGCCAGGAATGGCTACAAGGGCGTGGGGATGGAGAGCGGAGGGAAGTTGGAAGAAGGGTGCGTTGCAGATGTGACGCTTTGGGACCTGACATCTTTGGCGCTGCTCCCTCGCACAGATCCCATCTCCTCACTGGTGCTGGGCTCGCGCACGCAAGCTCCAGGAGCTGGCTCAACTTTGCACTCCAGCTGGGTTCGTGGAATTCGCGTCATTTCTGAAGGCTCGCTTTGTGGCTTGGACTTGCTGCGCCTTCGCGAGATGTTGGCCAACGGGCAGGACTACAAGTCCCCTGACACTACGGATCCAGCGACGGATCCCTTCACAAAGGGTTTAGAGGTCGAATATCGTGCAGTCTTTGGCTCGGATGGCCAGGACAGGCTTGCACCAGTCCCAGAGAACGTGGCCAAGTACCGGCCTAATTGCGTTCTCTATGATGCCACGGTCCGCTAGTGCAGATGTCTGAAACTTCCGGTACGTGCAGCACGCATGTTCTGCAACAGGACTGATGCACGGGTGGGTGGAAGGCGATGCACAAGCTCGCAGAAGCCGATGCGAGCTCAAACTTATTGGTTCGTGGCAGTATGCAGACAATCAAAAAGGTGCGACGCAGAAGCACTGTGACCGCTATGATAGTGGTGATGTGCGAACTTGCTTAGTGCAGAAAAAGTCTGGTGAAGCAGGAGCCAGGTAGCCCTCAAGATTACTTGAATCGTCACGTACCAAGCATGCTCAGGCATCATCTACCCGGAAGAGGCAACAGCGAGTTATGTCGAAAATGAAGAAGAAGTTCGAATTGCGTCCTGGCAGCACAACATGCCGCATCAGCTTGTGGCTTTGCACATGCACGACATGCACAGAGCAACTTTTGGTTGTCGAGTGCTTCGCAGGAACGAGTGGAATCCGATGATCCACCATCAGAGGCAAGCTGGAACTCTCTCAAGTCATTGTGCTTCGGGGCCTTGCGAGCTGATATGTGACCTCGGTGTGTGTGTGTGTGTGTGAATTCCGGGTTTGGATGCCGACGCAAGTCCTTTCCGCCGGCAAGCTGGAAGTTCAAGCTTCAGGGGGGAACAGTGTGGTTTTGTTTCACCAACAGGAAAGGCTAAATTCGTGATTCAGTGATGCGCCAGGACATCAGAGGGCCTCTCTTCAGTGGCATAAGCCACTTGGTTGCCACCGCACATCATCGACAGTTTTAGATTCCACAAGCATGCCCGCCTACACACATGACTGTCACTGGTCCGCGTGAGGGAAGGGATGCTTCAACAGGGTGCCTGATGGGACCTTCGTTGCTCCTGCATAGCCTGAGTACTTGAACATTCTGATTAGAGGGGCTGGTATGTCCAGTCTGAAGGCATCAACAGTGAATCAATCGTAGATGTGCCCAGGCAGCGACACCTTGGGGACGCTTGGTGTGTCAGTGATATCTCCTTACAGATACGCGCCTCAGCCATGCAAACAGAGTTAGGACAGGTTATTTGCTTAGTGACGTTTCGTTGTCAAACATGTTTGCATGTTGTCGCGAAGACCTGCACAGCGCCAAAGCATAGCAGTGTGCAGCCACATTACTTTGCAGCCTGTAGCTTGCAGGCTCGTTCGGACAGCGCGCACACCGATCAGCATGATAGCCTTGGCAGCTTGGCGTGCGAATTACTCAGCAGTTGGCCATATTCTGACGAGATCGGTTGCGAGTACACAGCACAGGGCTGCAAGAAGGCTTCAAGCCTGAGCCAGCCATAGATCCTGCGTTTTGTCCGGGACAGCGCCGGGAAAGATGGTTGTTGTGCTGGCTTACAGCAGAGGTTGGGTCAACTACATTCTTGAAACAACATGGCCTCACTTTCGGACGGCCGCCACCTCACTCGTCAAGAACATCGATCCTTGGCCGCAACGGATTGTCCGAAGCATTGGTGGCTCGAGTTCTGTACCCGCCAGTCTTTCACAGTGATGGTGTGGTCTAGTCAGCGAGGGAAGTGTGTGTTCCGATCGAGGTTGCTGCTGAAGTGACGTCGCAGATCCGAGCTCGGAATACCTTGGGCTGCTTGGGCAAATCGTCGATCAACGGCCGAACCCACTAAGATGCATGCAGTTTGTCGTGGGTGCTTGCTGTGCAAGAAGTCCTTCTCTTCTCGACTGCCCTATCTTCACAAGTTTGGGCCAGCACCGACGGAGAAGCGACTGTCTTTCAATTGGAGTGTTTGGGACATCTCGGGTGAAGTTGTGGTCGGGAAGCGCTCGTGCTGATTCATGGCCCAGGCTTCAATATCGACATTGAAGTTCAGACGGAGTTTGATATAGGCACATCCCAGTCTCATGTTGTCAGCCCTGCCATGAAGTCCCCCTTCAACTAAAGTTCAGCTGACAGAATGAAATCTCGAGCAAACGTGCAGGTTCACAGCCGCCTCATCTGAAGAATATCGTTGCAACACACACCGGGCGGGGCATGCAGGAAGGCGGGCGGCTTTAGAGTGTAGGAGAGACGTCAGGCCAAAAACCCAAGTTCAACAATTGTCTTTTCTGGAAGCTGGCAGGTGTTGAGCTTCTTGTGTCTTGGCAGAACCCGGCTGTTGCTTTAGCATGAGCAGGCTGCTTCTTGCACCGTGCATGTGTGCATGTAAGAGCGTCTGCATGTCTTGGTCCCCGAATCAGTACCCGTGCTCCCTCACCCAGCAACATGTGTTTTAAGAGTTGAACACAGGAGCGAGGCTTCACAAACGAGAGGTACATTTACAGGGAGGGCTTCGTAGGGAGAATTTCTGTGCATCATCCTACAGGCTCATTTGGACATGGCCTCTGCGGAGGACTTCCATTTCACGTGCCAAAGCTGCACTCCGATGTTGTTTTTTCTCCTGTTAGTGCCGTCAAGGTTTGGGTGTGTTGCTTGGCTCTATGCTCCCGTGACCGAGGCTTTCCATCTCCGGTCGAGTCAGCGGTCTCCCGATCAACACCTCGGCAGCTTAGCCGAAGCAAGGGGTCCTCGAGTTTTCCGTGGCCTGGCCCTGCGCCCCTACGAGGTCGGCTTGGCTAAGTTCTCACTTTCGGGGAACGCCTGCGTGCTCCTCTCGCCCCTGATAGACGCCGTTCCAATTTTTGCAGGAGGCGCAGGGGAACTCGGCCCAAAATGCCCCAAACACTCAAACAAAGTGTGAGGCAAGATGTACTTCCTGGATTTACCTGACCTCCACTTCGAGTTCTTCGGCATGCGCTCTGCTCCCGCCTCGGCCCTCTCCCTCTCCATGCACGTACCGGGGGTCAACTCATGTCATGTCGATGATGTGTGGAAGTCCCAGTGAGTATCAGGCCGGCAAGCTGCTGGGGCCGATCTTGGTGCAGGCAGTCCAAAACTGCGCCGAGAAGGTGCTCCAATCCTTTGTCGTGCCAGGCGCGCGTGTCCTGCGATGTACAGGCATTTTGTCAAGCTGACGATGACCGCACTTTGACAGCTCTCGCAGCTCCCCTGTGCACGGCACACCCAGTCTCGAACGGTAGCAACCTGCGGTAGTAGAGTCCAGAGGCATCGACATCCACAGCCTCTCAAAAAAAGTTGACGTCGTGCTTCCGCGAACACGGGTCATGTGAGTCCTGCATTGCAGGCGGAATTTACGTTCCCATTTCGCCGATTCCACCCTCGAATCTGATGCCGCCACCCGTCACAAAGCAGGCGGTTGATCGACAGGTTCCTAGTCCTAATTGTCTGCCATGTCCGGCCACGGTAGACCGACCAAAGGATTGCCACGCCTGCGCCCTTCGGCTACGTTGTGGCCACAGTTCACGAGGCTCGAGGAGTTTTTGGTGGCTTGGATGAGTCTTAGCACCGTCAAAAAAGCTCGATCCTTGAAGCTTGGTAGCTGAGGCGGTGACTTCTCCTTGTTCAGCAAAGAGACTAGCGCAGCGCTCCTGATGTCTTTTCGTTTCTCCAGCAGCTTTCACAGAGGCGGGACGCATCATGGATAGTTGCCCCCGAGGACCCGTCGGTTCAGATTCAGCTCGGTGGCACCACGTTTACCACCTCGCCACTCGGACACAGCTAGAGCAGAAGCAAGCTGACCCGGACAAAAAGGGGCAAAAGTGTGGGGGATGCCCCTTCGTGGACTCAAGCTTTTTGACTCGAGCGGCATCTGGATTCTTGAACAGGAGCGTTGGTCCATTCTGAAGTCGCATGCTGTTTGCTACCTCAGCAAGCATACTCGGTGCTGTGCTCATTGCAGTACCTGCAGTCTCAAGCCGTGAACTCCCCTCCAAACTTTGCGTCTGGTGTCGGATTCGGAGCTGGCATGGTATTGAGTGTTCATGGCTTCAGAAGGTACCGGGCTACGCTGAAGAAGTGGGACACGTGGGGTTGTGTCACGACTTTCATGTTGGATTGGCGCGTGAGAAGGAGTGTTCACGCAGCCGTGTGATTGAGGTATCACACGAACACCAGCAATCCAAAGTGGGATCCTCCAGAAAGCGGATTTTTGCCACCTGGCTTCACTTGCCATAGCTGCCGCTCCTCAGACTTCGCAGCGAAATGTTCCTAGGCGTTCGAAATGGGTTGAGAGCCATCTCAGACCTCCCAGGCCTTTGTTTCACCACAACCAACAACTTCACATCGTGCCTCGGCCGCAGCATGCCGCAGCACATGAGCTGGTCAGCTAGTCAGCTGCAGAAGTTGGGTTGAGTCGAGAGTCAATCAAGTATGACTGTTGCTATGACTTGTCTGCGGCAAAGCAGGCAGCCACCCCTCCTACTGAACGATACTCGTAGACCACCGAGACTTGCTTCGCCTCTGTCCAACGATATCAACCTACCACCTTGTTTCTGCAGTTCTTTTATTGCGCAAGAAGCATTGCAAGGACGTGTCAGATGTAGATCTCGGGGATCGCAGAGACCTGCTGGGGCAGTTCTCCGGCACTGCCGGGGCCTGAGCTCACGGCAAGGGATGCACGGCTGCTGAGAGGCGGTAATGGCCGGTGATTGGCTGCTGGCTGCTGGCTGAGGTCCAGACAATCCATGAGATGGTGGAAGGTGCGGCATGTAGGTCACATTGTCACGAAGGAAATCTGCAGGCAGTATAAGCAGATTCTTCGCTGACAGGCAAGGACTGGCTGGGCATGGTACTCACACCAGATGCGGCGAAGGCCATGCCGGACCCACGCAAGCCCCTTGGTGGAGTCGGGAGTCAGCGATCTCGGGCTAGCATGAGATCGGACAAACGAAAGAGTGTGGTTTGTTGCTGCGGCACCATCAAACAGTTTTTATGAAGCAAAGGTGCTTTCACTTGCCGTTCTGGGAAGTAGCTCTGTAGTGCCGAGGAAGATGGAAGTGCTACTCTCCACAGACTCCTGGCCGCACCACCGGCAAACCTTTGCGTTTTAACGCGCAACTCCAGCACTGGCCCCAACTCGAGCATGGGACTCATGCTCTGGCCATTCAAACGTGCCAGCCCGTTCAAGCACCAATCCCGATTCAGGCACGCACGATAAGAAGAACCCGCGATTCAAGCAATCGACTTGAGGGTAGGGTTAGGGTTAGAGGGGTGCAGGTTTCGGAGTTTACTGTAGGGCGTCGGGTTGAGGATATTGCGATTTAGGGGTTCAGGCTTTGGTTACCGCCGCTCGAGCATAGAAGAGCCCGTTGTTAAGACCTATAGGCCTATAGGGCTTTGGGGTTGTAGGGTTTAGGCAAGTTAAGGGTTTATCAAAGGTTTCGGCTTTAGTGCTTTCCTCGGATGTTCGGTGTCGGCAGTAGTTCTGGCTGGTTCATAACACAACCCACCCTGCAACAACTTGAAGCTCCCGGTTTCCATTTGAGGCTGTGCAGGGGTGGTTGCTTTTTACAGCATAGTGACGAGTGACTAGTGAGCCCAAGTATACGATAATGTCTCAGCTGAATGGTTTAGACGGTCTCATAGGCTTCGCTCTTGTACCGTGCGTTAATCCCGTGACTCTTTGGATCCGCGCACGCATTCTAATGCACGAACCGTGTCGGGTGCGCGAATTTGCACAGCCAGCGAGAACCCATGCTGCCCGAATCCCGTGCTTTCCATTCTCGAATGTCCGCGCGTGAATCTCGGGTGCGAATCTGAGGCCCCAGCATGCGAATCCGCAGCGTGCTTGTTCCAGTGCGCGAATCTAGTCTATCCGGCGAAGAAATCAATCTTTGCAACTGGTGAGAGAGCCTGTGACCAGCCCACCTGTCTCAGAGCAGAGAAAGATGTCTCAGCAGAGGACAAGATTTTTCTTGTTAGTATTTGTGCATCGCCCTGAGGAGTTCCTTGAGGTGGCCAAGCTCACCTCAGACGTGGGGATCGTCGATTCAATTCCTGCAGGGCCAGAGCATGAGCCGATTTTTCGGCAAGCAGAGTCATGTGGTAAGGACAACGGTTTGAGTAGCTTCCGAAGAGGAGCTACAATCCACGGGTAGAGTGTTGATCGTCGTGATGGGGCTGTGCTGAGAACCGCTTTGCTGAAACAACCGAGACCCCATCCAGGAAAGGTGGACCACGGAAGTTGTCGGTGGACTACACGAGGTTGTTGCGCCTTGTTTCCGTGAAGCTGCTTGACTGGAAAGCATGATTTGCACGGAAAGCAGTATTTCTGAAGAAATCGAGCGGCTATCCCAACTGGTCGTAGCTTGTTGGACTGATAGCTCGGCAGGACAGCGCTGGAGTCAAGTCGCTCACTGCTTCTGTGCTTGGTGCCTGTACTTGAGGCTCATGGGGCTGGAGGCACCAGACGAGTTTGTGGAGGAAGTCATGTACAGCACCGCGCCGCCTGTCAAAGCTTAAGCACTGCACTTGCGTTCGATGAGGAAGACACCAGTCCATGAGATGGACTCACCTTGTCAAGCCCAAGGTCCGTGACCGCAGATGCCGGAAAGCCGCCCAAGAACTTCAACAAGGCCCGATCTGCTCCAAGAGAAACCGGAAGGGAAGCGTTCATTTGGGCTGTGAGCCGTTCGAGCTCTTCTGATCTGCGCAAGCTGATGTCCGCTTGCACTCATGCTCGGGGTGCTTCTTGCATCATGACTGGAGCAGCTTCAAAGACCATAGATAGAGGACCGCGAAGTTTCAGCATCTCTATGAACCCGTAAAAGTCATGCTCAGTAGCTCCCTCGACATTGGGCTCTAGGAGACTTTGCTGTGACACCGCTACTCCGGTGATCGCTTGTCTTGTTTCTTTCAGTTACTTGGCCTGGAAGTGCAACCCCTGGAAAAGCTGCGATTTCCTACGTCAGAACTTTCATTCCTGGCCTGACCCTGCCTTGCGCCGACTGAAAAGATTTGCAGTCAAGCAGCAGTCATGCGCAGCGAAGGCAGTCGTTTCCGAGACAATTATATAACAGATCGACCATGCTGACGCTGTGAAGAGATCACGAAACTTCATTCGTGTCAGGAGAAGAAGGTGACTTGGTAGCACCGTTGTGGTGCCTCGGTTCCTTTTTGGGGAACGCCCTCAGTCAAAACTTGTTCCAAGGGTGGACTTTGGAAGAAGGGCCTGGAGACATTGAACCTGTCTGGGGCTTAGCAAGCCACATGGTAGAGAGCTGGGGATCGTTTGTGCAAGGAAGATGCAGGTGCAAGTTCAGCAGGGTGGCGGTCGTGTATGGGCTCAATGTGAGCATAACGAAACGAGGTGGTCCAGTCCATCGGGTGGCACGCTGAAGCATCCGCCCATGAAGACAAAGAAGGTGGCCCTAGACAGACATATATATATATATGTATATATATATATATGTGATTATATATGTATACGTACCTCTCGCTCTCTCTCTGTCTCTCTCTCTCTCTATCTCTATATATATATATATATACATACATACACATACTCATACGTGACACTGGTCTGGATTAGGAGAGGTGGCTCTCCATGCCTCTTTTTGCGTTTCTGCTGCCAGGCCCGGGCCTGGGGCGCCTCCCAGACGAATCCGAAAGGCAGAAATGACGGCTGAGGTTTAGGGCCCCTCAGGTTTGGGGGTTTTAGGGCTTGGGGCCTGGGTTGGTAGGGTTTGGGGTTTAGGGTTTACAGGGTTCAGGGTTTCGGGTTTAGGGTTAGGGTTCGGGGTTTCGGGTTTAAGGGTTTAGGCGGTTTGGGGTTTCGGGTTTAGGCATTTAGCGCTTAGGCGGTCTAGGGTTTAGCGGGGTAGTGATATCAGGGTTTTTCGCGAACTGGCGAGTCAAACTCCGAATTCAGTTTCGTCTTGCCTGAAGGTTTGCTTTGTATCTGTTTCTTTCAGAGGCAGCTTCCTCCACAACGTCAGCACACACTCTCAGCTGATGATCGAGCGCTTGGCCGTTGTCGGTGTCCCGGTCTAGGTTTTCAATACCTGTATAGATTCCTGCGGACTTCTGCGAACTTGCCCAGAGAATGTATATAGCCCCCTGTAGACGAAGTCGATTCCGAGGAGAAGAAGATGCCTTACGGTGAGATCGCCAAGATCGCAGGCTCAAGCTTCATCAGACCATGGGAGTGACTTTCAAGGTCCAGTCTTGTTCCTGGCCCACACAGTGCCACCAGCCCCTACAATCGCGAGGTCTCCCAGAGGGTCAGGTCAAGCTGCTCGTGGAGATGCAGCGAAGCCTGCAAGTGGTGGGAGCCCCGCACATCTCTGCACCTCATCGTGAGAGGAGCCGCCGTCTTTTTAAGCGAAGTCGAAGCCGTCCCCACTGGCCACAGGTCTGGTATCAGGCTTTCCACCGGCTGCTCGAGTATCCAGGCACACCCGGCGATGTAGTCGAGTGCAACGTAGCAACCAAGCATCGATGGAGCATTAGAAGGGAGAAAGAGAGGAAGAGGGAGATACAACGGCAGAGGACAAAAAGCACGCATTGCCGTTTCACCTTCGCATCGTTGCAGAAGTTTTTGAACTGTTTGGCGAAGGCGGTGTCGTCAGCGTCGAGGTTTCCAAAGAGGATAAAACATCCCTCGGTGCCTTAGCTTGCATCAGCATGAAAGCTGCTAGATTCAAGGCAGGCTTTTTCCGCGATGCGGCTGGGCAGCGGTCGGTTGTTTACGAAACACTGCGTCAGCAGCTTCAAGCAGCGTAGCGCTTTAGTACGTATCAGTAGATGCAGTTTGCCACGGCTGAGGCAAGGTGAGCGTTGACTTGCAGGAGGTGGCAGGGTTATCGGTTATGGATCGAAAACCAGGTCCTCAGCGGTATACCTGTCACCTGTGCCCGCGTAACCCGTGTCACTTGTGCCTACGCATCGCGTGTCACTTGTGCCCGTGTAGGTGCCTGAAATCACGGCAGGGCCACACTTTGGGCCACCTGTCGCGAAAACGCGGACCTGTCACTTGTGCCTACGTTTCGG